TGAATAAAATAAAAATAGAATGTTTTTCAACAATTTCCAAAGTATAACAAACTAAAAATATAATTAATAATATCAAAAAGTTTTCATTCAATCCAGAACACAGTCTGTTTAATTAAATTGGAAATTTCTAGAACTTTTGACACGATCTCTAATTTTTTCTTTTCACTGCAAATTTCTTGCAAAATTCTTCAAAATAAAAGGCATGCAAATTCCAATTTAAATTTAAATTAAAGGGAGAGTTTACTAGGTTTAATAAAGGGTATAAGACTAATTAAAGGGACTGTAAGCGTAATTTCAAGTAACCTTTCATTTGTAGAGTGTCATAATCGATATACAACGATACCCTTTAAAGCATTGTTTGATAAAGGATTCTCGTGTCTCAGGGCACTCCATCTTCAGCTATATACAGTATACACACATATATACGATAAGATAAGATAAGATAAATTTTATTGCTAAAATACATGTACCTGTATACAGAACGAGTTTACAATTACAAATTGATTATATTAACAGTACAAGTATAAAGCAATTAGGTGGAAAATAGCTCTTGGCTGTTCTGATTATTTTTTCCACCTAAAATGAAAACAAAACATCTCAATTAAACAGATTTAAGGAGAACTGTGAGAGATCAAATCAATGTGCGGACAAAGTTTTAAAGGGTACCGATGTGAATCGGAAATGTCTCCTTTTGGAAGTTCAAGCTTGAAATTACGCTTGCATGCCCTTTAAGATCAGGATTTTGCTAAGTGTTCCTTTAACAGCTACATTTAAAAACAAGCCCTAATAATTTTGAAAAGCCTGGCGGCACTTGAAATGGAGCCCGGTCACAATGTTGATGCATATTTTTCAAACTTTGTAGATCTCAGTGTTTTTAGTTTTTAAACCTCAATGAAATTTAAACCTCAATGGTTTGTGCAAAAGTTAGCTCAAACCGCAAGCAATTTTGCGCGGAGGTGCAAAAATTTCTGGGTTCATAATGTCCAGTTGGGTTGGATCAGGGAGGGGGTGCAGGGACGCCATGAGCCCCGCGAAATGGTCTCTAAGCCTCTGGATTCACAGATGAGTATTTAACATGACCTGGCCGTTGCTACCCCTATCTTTTAGAGTAATTAAAAGCAACGTAGAAACATTTTAACATTTTTGAAAATATTTTAAAAGTTATGCATTTTAAGCACTCATTGGCGAATACGGAGGCTTAGAGACAATTTTGCGGAGCTCATGGCGGCCTTGCCCCCCCCCCCCTCTTTCGTTGGATCCGAGTAAAGTAATGTGCATACTGCATACAGGTAGAAACTTTTAAATCATTTAAATTATCATCACCAAAACCCCATCTAAAAAGACTACATTTATGAATAATGAAAATAGATAAAAATACTTACACCCCAAATAGTGAAATTTAAGATGAAAACAATGCACATACCTGCAATAAAATAGTTTATTAATTAACAAACTCTAACCTTAAACATGTTGGAAATAACATATTTTTCAGCTTTGCACTTAATTTGCAACTTAGTTGCACTTGGTTGCAAAACTCAAACTTCAAATGTTCTAAAAAATATGTTTTTTTGAGCGTTTTTTGCCTTTTCTAAAATAACTTTAAAAACTTGTTTAGTAGGAATTGAACATGAACATTAGCCATGGGGAACTATTAATCCTGATATTTTGAAACTTCATGTCCTGTGATATTTTAAACTTTGAATTCTTCTAGGTCAGGAACTCCTTGTTTGAAATACCAAAGGTTTCCCCAACACCATGTATTTACACCAGCCAAAACCGGACTTCCTCGTAAGTATTTCTGATTTAAAAAGGCAGTTTCTCGTATTTCTGATTTTTCAAGGCAGTTTATCTTCCTCGCAGGATGATTTTATTTCCCTTATAAGGATATACTGCATGAAGTACGGTGCTTAAATATTCTTATATAAAGAAGGAAATGTCATTTGATGGTATAAAGTAAACATACTGTTAAATGATACTAAACCTTTAGTTATGAACTAGATTGCTAATCACTGCACTGAACTAAACGCAAACATACGCTCAACTTTTTATAGAGAAAAAAATCCTCTTGCAGCAAGGAAGTGCAGTTTTGGTCGGTGGAAATACAGTTCACTCTCCCCTGAATGATACAATATCTTCGGTCAGTGTACTGTAAATTACTGCAGAACGCACAGAAAGCTTAGTTAAGGGAGGGATGCAAGGATACAAGATTAGAGTTTGAGGAGAGTAATAAGTAGTTCCCTTCCAAATTTTCAGGTTTTAAACTTTTTTCTGCTTTATGTTAAACATAGTGAATTTGTATTCGAAGTTTTGTTCTAAATTGCAAATAAAAAGGATTTATGTTTATAACAGAATATATTATCCTGAAGAATAAGAATTTCTGGAATATTTTTGCACGTTTATTTTTGTTTTTAGCTCAGAGGTGTTTGTCAAAATCAGCAACAACCGCGAACTAATTAAAGATTTTTTCTACAGATTTTCTTGCAAAAATAGTATACTCATTTTGAACAACTGTAAGGAATTCAATAGGAAATGTAGTATTTTTTAATGGTTTCTTGGCTTGACCTCTCCCCCCCCCCCTCCGACTTCTAGTTTTATTGCTCTGTTAAATGAAAATATTTTGCAAGATGGGAAATGAAGAGAATTTTTATCGGGAAACAGGATGACAAGAAGAAAAATTAGATGTGAAACAAGGAAAAATAGAAAAAGATAATTTCTACAACAGAAACCAGAAACTAGAATTGGAATGATTGTTCTCTTCTTGCTCCTTTAATCATGGAATTTTAAACTGATTCATTTATTAAAAAAGTTCCCTGACGATAGTAAGAACTTTAGTGTTTTGAATCTTGAGGTGAAGCATTTCGATCTCCATCTTAGTCAGGTATACGGATTAATTTAATTTCTCTTATATATCCCGTAGTGAACACATATCATACAAATCAAATCAAATCATTTATTAGGCCACAAGTTAACAATATTCATATTAATAAAAATGACTATACAATTACATATATATATTTTGTGGCCGGGGAGCAAGGATAACTTTAATAGAGAGATTAAGCATTTATTCGCAAATCTAAAGTGCCTACATTGAATATCGAGATCAAGCGTTCAAGATTAACGATACTCCACACAAAAGTTTCGACCGCTAAACATTTTTGAGACATATATAAGGAATCCTTAACAAAGTCTCATAATTATAAAGAAAAAAGGGTAAATTGAGTCATTTCTCTCAAATTTGAAGAAGTTTACGTAGTTCAACTATTTCCCTCTTTTAAAATACAAAACATTAAAGGTAATGAACTTTAAATGGGATTTATATTTCGTAAATCAGTCTTCCTCGTCAATTATAATTAAGCCTATTGCCTCGACCAAATAGTTAAAAATCTTGAAAGCTGAAAAGTGCATTACAGTCTTCAACTTCACATGTCCAGGGCTACAATAAAACATTGAACATTTATCGGGCGTAGTGTACTCTGAACCTGAGTGTAAAATTATCAATTATAATGATTTGTGCAACAGCTATAACCCTGGGGGTAATGTAAACAACCTGTATTACAATACAGTTTAAAAGTTAAGAGTATTAAAAAAAGGCTTAAAATATCCTATACTTACACTTATGTAATACATTGTTTTCAGTACACAGATATCTACAAATATCTACAAATATCTACAAATATCTACAAATATCTACAAAATAACAAATATCAACAAATATCTACAGATATCTTCAAATATCTACAAATATCTACAAATATCTACAAATATAAACAAATATCTACAAATATCTACAGATATCAACAAATATCTACAAATATTCACAGATATCTACAAATATTTACAGATATCTACAAATGTTTACAGATATCTACAAATATCTACAAATATCTACAATATCTACAAATATCAACAAATATCTACAATTATCTACAAATGTCTACAAATGACTACAAATGTGTACTAATATCTTAACATATCTACAAAATCAACAAGTATCTACAAATATTAACAAATATCTACAAATATCTTCAAAAATCTACAAATATCAACAAATATCTACAGATATCTTCAATTATCTACAAATATCAATAAATATCTACAAATATCAACAAATATCTACAAATATCTTCAATTATCTACAAATATCTACAGATATCTTCAAATATCTACAAATATCAACAAATATAATCAAATATCTACAATTAGGTCTACAAATATAAACAAATATCTACAAATATCTTCAAATATTAACAAATATCTACAAATATCTACAAATATCTATAAATATCTACAAATATCTACAAATATCAACAAATATCTACAAATATCTACTGATATCTACAAATATCTACAAATATCTACAAATATCTACAAATATCTACGAATATCTACAAATATCTTCAAATATCCACAATTATCTACAAATGTCTACAAATGACTACAAATGTCTACTAATATCTTCAAATATCTACAAATATCTTTAAATATCTACAAGTATCTACAAATATTTACAAATATCTACAAATATCTACAAATATCTACAAATATCTTCAAATATCCACAATTATCTACAATTATCTACAATTATCTACAAATGTCTACAAATGACTACATATGTCTACTAATATCTTCAAATATCTACAAATATCTTCAAATATCTACAAGTATCTACAAATATCTACAAATATCTTCTAATATCTACAAAAATATTCAAAAATCAACAAATATCAACAAATATCTTCAAACATTAACAAATATCTACAAATATCTACAAATATCTACAAATATCAACAAATATCTACAAATATCTACAAATACCTACAAGTATCTTCATATATCTACAAATATCTAAAAAAATCTACAAATATCTACAAATATCTACCAATATCTACTAATATCTTCAAATATCTACAAATATCTTCAAATATTTTCAAATATCTACAAATATCTTCAAATATCTATAAATATCTACAAATATCTACAAAAATCTCTAAAATATCTACCTGAATCTGCGACAAATTAAAAGTCTTGTTTTAAAGATTATATGACTTGCAGTGGAGCGTCGTCTCCAACGAAAAGTTGAAAAGCTGGGAGGTGTTGGCAAATAATCACCGTCTTCACAATTTTTCGCGGCTTTGTCAGCTGATGGGGTAAGATTTTCAGCTGATTGTGTAAATTTATTATCAGCAAGTTTGACAGATTTTTCAAATGATTCTGCAGACTTATCAGCTGAATTGTTGAGGGAACCAATACAATCAGCCTCTGGAATACTGGGGAAATCAGCTTGGTTGACGACTGATTTGGTAGTCCTAGTGCAGGGTAACATCGTATTTTTTGAGAAAACAAATTATTCTGAAAAATCAAGAAAATCTAACCTAAAGTTGGTAAATTGATAAATCAACAAAATCGAATTTTTGAAAATTAATTAATTTTACAATTTTCGTAATTTCATCAAATCCAGATAATCCTTTCTTTAAAATTGATGGAAAGTGATCTTAAAAATATTTACAAGGATTTTGTATATAGTGAGACATATATTAACAGTTTATAGACGCGTGAATGTACTGCCAAATAACCCAATCTACCCCTTAGAACTGAACCGTTTCTTCCTTTTATATACTTCATGCAGTATATTGTGCACTGTATGTAAACATACGCTAAACTTCATTTATAGGGAAATAAATCAAAATAATAAACTTCCTTCTTAAACAAGAGGTACATTAGGAAGTTCTAGTTTGGTAGGTGGAAATACAAAAGCGTATAAAAAATTAATTCAACTATATGATTTTTCTGAAAGCACTCAACTGAAAGACTACATATTAAGCCTTTTTTTTCGATATTTGGTCTTAATATCATTAATTTGAGATATTCAAACAATTTCTTTATTAGCAGAAGAGTTACTGCATATATATTGAATATCTATTCTACTTCCCATATTGATAAAAAGGAGTATACATATATATATATATTCTATATTACCAAATGTATATATTAAAGTGCACCAGGTATATGGGGGGGGGGGTTAAAAGGCATTTGCCCATCTTCTTTATCATTTATCTCTTACAGCGATACCCATGAATAAGAACCAGTCAAACTCTATTTAAAAAGAAAAACAACATAAGGAAAAACGTAAGGAAAAGTATATTTTTTTAATAAAATTATTATCAAAACATGGTTGCATTTAGCTCCAGTAAACTGAACTATAAACACATCTTTCTAATCATATTTCTTTGATAAATATATAAGTTATATCTTGGATTATTTCATGGAATGAATTTGCACCCCAGGAAAATTGAAGAGCAAAATAAAAAGTGTGAAAATTCTACAATTATTACTGGAGTAAAAGCCTTTTCAATAAATTAAAATAGGAATTGAATTTCCACAGAAGTCCACGTTTATGTAATAAAAAATATAGGAAAGGAGTTGAGTCGTTGTCACAAAATCTGATTTTCTAATCCAAATGTATTTGCAACCTAATAAAGTAGACCTTATACATTTCAAACTATGAATTATTTTGGATCAAATAATCTATAGGGTTACACAATCAGGTTACAAAGATGTATGAATTAGAAAATCAGAGCTTGTGTCAAAGACTCAACTCCTTTGTGAAAAATTAAGTATGTAAAAAATTTCTGGATAATTTAGATAAAAATCTATTATCTATATGTATATATAAAAAGTAGTAATCTCAATTTGTCTCGTTAAATATCTGACCCTCCGTGACCGATTTGCCTCAAAGTTGGATTAGGGAATTCGTTAGAACCACGGGAATATTCTCTCAGCTTGGTTTCAAAGTGGGTTGAATTTTACAGGGAAAACTCCAGGCAAACCTGGGTTCCAAAGCTAGTTCTTCATAATAATATTTGCCCTTCTTAATATGATCGTTTTTGATTGTTTTGAATCTAATTATACATGAAAGAAAGAAAAAAAATAGAATAACCAAAAAAAGTAATTAAAAAGACAATTTTTTAATGTTACTGCTATAATTTCTATTATTATTATTAAAATATGGCGTTTTTACCTCTTATAATAATAAAGGATCTGAACACGAAGTATTCATAATTTAGAATGGTCAAATATTTTAAGTTTAAAATATCAAAAGTTTACACCATCTGGTTGCAAAGATATATGGATAAGAAAATTAGGGCTTTTGGCAAATGTTTAGTTTATAAAATATTATTTGATTTTTCATTTTTGAGCTAAATTGAACCAGCATTCAAAATTGCCATTTATTAAACAACGTTATGTAAATGTTGTAAAGCCCATTAGATATTTTATCTTTTTCAGATAAAAATAAAATTTTTTCATCTTTCTATAAACTCAAATAATATTCCTCATGCTATACATATTGGAAATAGGCGCTATTCTCAAACTTTGTGTAATCTAGTTTCAACATTATGTATATAAATGAAGATGGGGGGGGGGGGGGTTTGAGAAGCTTATTAATTATTGTTAACTGAGAAATATTAATTAAGTTTCTTTTTCATGGATAATATAGAATAGATGAGATCTCTTAGAATTGTAACAAATTATAATTCAGCAGAACAGAAATTTATATAATTATTAAGTTATAAACTTCATAATTTTATATAAACCTTGAGGAACTTTTGTGTGTTATTGCGATATCCGATCCGAGCACTTTTAAAGGAATTGAGTCTTTACCCAAACTCTGTATTTATAATCATATCTTTTCAACCTGAAACCTTTCATATTTCAAACTTAGATTATTTTATTAAACAGAATTTAAAGATTGAAATATCTAAGGTTACAAAGCTATAGAGATCAGAAAACCAGAATTTGTGGCAAAGGCTCGATTTCTTTGAGGATCAATGATTGATCCCTCAATTACAGTTGTTATCAAAACGTATAACCATCGCGGGATATCTGCTTAAAGATGGAGATTATGCTTAATCCTGAAATTTACAACACAAAATTTCTCACTTCCGGTAGTATATAATATATAGGCTGTGAGCTTCCAAAGATACTATTTATGAAAATATCATAAATTTTATAGAAAGTGGTTCCAAAATATCAGATAATTTTTTTGTGGCCGGGGGTTTATCGGCTAAAAAATCTAAATTTTTTTTTCAAAATATTTTTTTTCAAATATTTTTTTTAGATAAATAACATTAAAAAGCACATTTCACTTTGCTAAATAAATAAATTTATCTATTTTTAGCTTGTTTTTCGAATATCTTCAATTATAAATACTTCTGTTAAGTATAAAAATAAAGGGATCTGCAGAATCTCAAGGAAAATTATATTTTCTATTTAAGATCCAGTGTTTGAGCCATTGCCATTTAAATATACAGCATCTACAAACTGAGCCAAAGTAATGGCATTCTTTTCATTTTTTCTGCTTCCTCAATTCTGGTTCGAAAAATTTATTTTGGAATATCCTGAATTGGAATTTTATATCCTCTGATCTACAATTCATAAACGTAAAGTAAGTATATTTTCGCTTATTTACACCCCAACCCCCTTTTTACCCTTTTCTCCTACCTCCCACAATCCTTTTTTATTACCTCCCCCCCCCCCCTTTTTTCTGGTTCAACTAACTCGATCTTTTTTTTCTTCAAATTTTCATTTACATTTCTATTCGAAAGTGACTCATACACCATGGAGTAAACCGTTCAGAATCAAACATATGATTAAGCTGGAAATACAACGATATCCCCCACATCAATGATCAGATAAAGGTTTAAAGAGAACAATATAAAGTCGGGCAAACCCCTTTCCCCACTTTAAATAGAGGGTCCCTTAAATTAGAAGAACAATCCCTTTAACCTAAATTCTAATATCTTGTGTTTTGATCTTTTTTGTTGAGATTTTTAAATATAAATTTCCAATGATTTTTGATTAAAGTACAATTTAATATTTGAAAGAGAACAAAGAATATTCTAGATATTCTAGGACCCTTTTAACCCTCTCATCGTGAATTAGGTTCTTTTTAACTTTGGACAAAAACTCCGAAAAATGTTAACTAAATTTGTACCATAGATTTTAAATTTAATACGAAAGTTTGATCAAGGAACGGATTAGAACACAGTATATTTCACATATCTCGGAGCTAAGGCTTAAACTAAACCCGGAGCTGAGCAACACGCTTCTTTGAACTCGATCGTACTTTGAAGACTAAGCATAATCTGAATTTTGTAGAATTTGTCAAGATCTTTAATCATTTCATCACATCACTTATCATTATGGGCAGTTTGTCAACGATTAAAATTTTTTCTTCAAAGGAATTGAGTTTTTGCCACAAACTCTGATTTGCTAATTTCAAAATCGTTGTAATCAAATGTCGTAGACCTTTAATATTTCAAACTATGAATGCTATTAGATCAAATAATGTAAATGTAAAATATTAAAGGTTTACATCATCAGGTTGCAAAGATATAGGTTTTACAAAAACTGAATTTGTGGCAAAGAATCAATTCCTTTTAAACATATAATTTTTAATCAAATCTATCGGATTGTGTCATGTTTGTTGTATATAATGTCAGGGTTAAAGTTGTAAAGAAGAGAGGTTTATATTTGTTTTGGTGTTGTTCAAATATACTTAATACAGAAAGAGGATGAAGGGAGGATATTACAAAGTTTAAACATTACTCGGGAATACTCGGAGAATACTGAAGAGATTATAGTTTACTCCGGGTTCTCCTCTATCCACTCCAACCCTCTCCTACCCACTCCTACCCTCCATCTCTCTTAACCCTTCTCTTCTCTCGCCTCTCCTACCCACTCCTACCCTCCATTTCTCTTAACCCTTCTCTTCTCTCCCATCTCCTACCCACTCCTACCCTCCATCTCTCTTAACCCTTCTCTTCTCTCACCTCTCCTACCCACTACTACCCTCCATCTCTCTTAACCCTTCTCTTCTCTCACCTCTCCTACCCACTCCTACCCCTCCATCTCTCTTAACCCTTCTCTTCTCTCACCTCTCCTACCCACTCCTACCCTCCATCTCTCTTAACCCTTCTCTTCTCTCACCTCTCCTACCCACTTCTACCCTCCATCTCTCTTAACCCTTCTCTTCTCTCACCTCCCCCAACCCACTCCTACCCTCCATCTCTCTTAGCCCTTCTCTTCTCTCACGAGCGGCATTTAAGCTGAAACTCAACATATCTGCTATTACTTTCCGTTTTTTCGTTTAGGACTCAGGGAAGAGTATTTTCATAGATTAATAACAATACAGATAGAACACTAGATGTCGTATTTTCAAGATATAGAGGTTTTTCCAAAGGAGTTTTGCGCATACTCTCTCACTGTCTCGTAATTCAACGCGGCATGCGCGTAACTCCTATGGGCAGGGTTATTAATGAAAAACCCCTAAATCTTGAAAAAACGA